GCAGGAATGTCTCTCCTTGTCATCGACACTGAAAATAAGTTTGTCTCAACGGGTTTCGCCAAGGAAATTGCTAGAGTTGCCCAAGGTTTGTGTATTTACTGAATCCGTGTATGTAGTTTCTGCAATAGAAGAAAATATTATTCATATAATATAATAACTTCATATTGCAGGGAAGTATTATTATCTTCCAAATGCATCAGATGCTGTTATCTCATCGGCAACAAAGGAAGCTTTATCAGCTTTGAAAAGTTCATGAAAACTAACAAGAATTAAGCAGCCAAATACGATTTCTTCCCCCTTTTGTCGTAAAAGTTAATTCAAATCATGCCACTATCTATGATGGGAAGAAAGCACATCGTAATAGCTTGCTCCATTTTTTCTGTTTATGATCCAGTTTTCCCCCATTTTAAGTTAGTAGTTTCCCAATTAGAAATGAAAATGATGTTACGAGTATAGGTTTCTCCTGGACATACAGATCTCAAACTTTCTTCTGTTTGCCACGGTGTACGATATTAAATGAATCCATTTATATCTGAATTTCAATCTAATTCCATTCTTATATTGAGATTTGTCTTGGTTAATTGATATCGTAGGGTTTATATAGTGAAACCTCAATGCGATGGGGAATATGAAATTAATTTTTTTATCTATTAAAATTACAATAGCGACACTAGAGTGTGAATTTAGAATAATAAGTATATTATTCTAATTATCCATTATTTAGTCTATTCTAATGATTCTAACGTGAAATGTATCTAGACAAAGAAAATTTTAAATATATCTATTTAAATTAAATTATTTAACATATTTGTTCAATAAATTAAAAAAAAAATAACTTACTAGTGTATGCATTAGTTGTGTAACTCATTTTCTAGTAAAAATAAATGAGTAGTTATTGAAAAAATTTATTACATAAGAGTGTCATATTGAGAATAAAAAATGTCTAGTTTATTATTAAAATTTTAAAACAGTTATTTTGAAAAAGAAAAAAAAAGGCTAAAACCACTAAAAAAATGGAAATGAGGGAATATAATTTTTTAGAGTTTAATGGATATGTATCATTAATATAAAATGATTTATTATGCGGATAACATGTTAGAAATTGATTTGGTGTGATTTTGAGTGTGATTATTTACTAAAGTCAATAAATTTACCATATACAATAATTTAGATATTAATAATAATGTAAATACATTGTCAATATATATATATCATTTATAATTTAATATTTTCCTAAATAAATAATATGAGATTTGTTCAAACAAATGGTTTAAAAGAATGTTTGCATGAAATATTTTTATTAGAACTTAATTTATATACAATATAAAATATTTTTATACAAACATACCAATGAATATAAGATGATGTGATAAAATTATTAGATCATGTTAAGTTTATGTGTAAAAATGTTTTACGCTAACATGCGCTAACATGGTATATAAATTAATTTTTTTTATTATTATTCCATTTGATTGTCATGTTTTAAATTTTTAGTTATTACTTGATTTGATTTAAATTTTCTTTAATTTATTGTTTTCTTATTTAGCTTATTTTCCTAAAACTATATATAGACAAATATATTACACCCCATCATATCGTAACACATTATAAATGGATTTTATTTTCTTCTTTTTTTATATATAGTGTAAAAAATGATAATACAATATTTAATCTAAATCGTCTAATACTCTAATATTTATAGTACGTATAGAATAATTTGTTTTTAAAAAAAAAAATTGGATAATAAAAAAATGTTTTTGCATAATTTGAACTAAATGCATAGTTGTATACTTATAAAATAAAAAATAAAAATAAAAATATATTTTCTAGAACTAATTAAATGAAATTTCATGTTTATACTCTTGATAATGAAAAAAAAAATGGAGCAAGTATAGAAAGGCTAATTAATGCATGAAAGAGAGCGCGGGTTTTAGGAAAGGAATAGTACTAGCCGTTGGGTTTTGCAACGTTTATATTATTCACGACGTCGTTTCGCGAAGCTACACGTCGTTTAAAACAAAGGACACAGCAAACGAATCCTTCACTCTTGTTTCTTCTCTGCGCCAACACACAAAACAAAACCCTCTCTCAATATTCATTTGATTTCTATGGCTACCATTGATGCGCAGAATACTCAAGATAACACCCTTCCTTCCGCAAGGCACCCTCTTCCTCCGCCAAACACCGTTGATTCTCAATCCGTTCTCAGAAGGTTCCTTTTTTATTTTATTTTCATTTTCATCACTTTTTTATCTTTTTTTTTTTTTCCTGACTCATTCCGTTTTTCTTGTTTTGATTTTGTTTATTTCACTGCGCAGGTTGCAATCTGAGTTGATGGCTTTGATGGTAAGAAACAAGATTCTCTCTTTCATTCATATAGCCTTATGGGTGCTACTTACTAGTTAGTATGGAACATTTGAAACAAAAATAAAAATAGAGAAAAAAAAAAAAGATATTGATATGTTTGTTAATTGTTTCATTTTCAGATGAGTGGGGATTCTGGTGTATCTGGGTTCCCGGAAGAGGACAACATATTGTGCTGGAAAGGAACAATAAAGGGAAGCAAAGACACCGTTTTTGAAGGAACTGAATACAAATTGTCTCTTTCTTTTCCCAATGATTATCCCTTTAAGCCTCCAAAGGTCAAATTTGAAACAACATGCTTCCACCCCAATGTGGATTTGCATGGCAATATTTGTTTGGATATTCTTCAGGTAAATTAACCCCCATAGGCCATATCATATCTCACTTTCTACAACAATATTCATCTATTGCAATTTGATTGATTATGTTCTTTGTTTTATAGGATAAATGGTCATCTGCTTATGATGTTAGAACAATTCTTCTCTCAATCCAAAGCCTTCTTGGAGGTAACTTCTAAAGCTATAAAGAAAAAACCCTTTTCTTTTAAATATAAATATTTAGTTTTCAAGTTCTTAAATTTTTCTTTGTATGTTTAGAGCCAAACATTAGCTCTCCATTGAATCCACAAGCAGCACAGCTTTGGAGCAATCAAGAAGGTAAATAAACGTTTTTTTAATAGTAAACGATTTGTAATTTTATATACTGGGAAAGAGATGGAGTGATTTTTGCTGTTGTTTTTGCAGAGTACAGGAAGATGGTGGAGAAGTTATACAAATTTCCTAGTGCTTAGCTTTGAACTCGAGTTGGAGAAGGCCTTTTCTGTGGGCTTTTGGAAAGAGTCTTGTATTTTTCTTTTCAATTTTGAAGGAGTTTCTAAATTTCTACAAATAATTTTCTCTCTTTCGGTACATTATATTCTTCACCTGTACTTTTTTATTCAAAGAATTCAGCAATACAAGGCTTTTGGTTCCCTGTTTCTTATTGCCGCTCCATAACCAGCAATCCCTCCCTATATGCGTAAGTAAAGGATTATACATTATAGACATTTTGAGTAATCATTCTACAAAAGAAAATTTAAATTAAAATATATTTCATATTCATACCCAAAGATTCGCGTATGTGTAGAATAATGTGCGCAGAATAATTTTTTTGACAGAATACATGTGTAAGAAAAATCAACAGTAATAAGATAAATAGATAAGGACATCACATGAATGTTCTTGGAGCACTGCCAAAATGGTATTGTGATCGAGATTATAACACTGTCAAAAAAAGGGGTAGGGAAAACCAAGGTTTTTTAAGAAATGGTATGCAACTATGATATTGGTGGCAACTTCAAAATTTTTAGATTGTTATTGATGTCACATCAGTCAATTTTATCCATAATTTTCACAATATCAATTAATTAATCTGATGATGGGTGACAATGACAACAAACTAAATTGACCGAGCCTAACTGATAAAAATGGTCTTGTGATTGAACTAACATGGTTGGGTCCATTTTTGAGGTATATGGTATATTAAGCACGTTTCAAGATATGATTTGCAAGAAAAACGTTTCAAGTTGTTTTTTCTTTTAAAAGAAGGTAAGAAACAGTTTTTAGACAGTCAACTAAAATTTATAGGATGTCATGAATGGTCCATGACCATGCCCACGTCACTAAAATTTCTCTCCTCACCAAACTCTTCTATGCCATGGCACCCGTGGAACAGTTTATAACGATCTTGAATTATATTTTAAATTTTACGAACCCTGCCAATGCAGAAGTAATTTTGAATCATGCCAATGCTCATAGCATTATAATAAATTCCAATAGATTTAGCCTGAGCGCATTGGCATTTCAAAATTTAAAGCATAATTAATTACCACTAAGAAGTAAGACTCTCAACGGCTGAAGTTTAACTTCATTAAACAATATTAGGCAACACATTGGCCTTTCTATATTTTAAGCATAATTCTCTACCATATTCTTGAAATCTTATAGCCAATGTAACAATAATTTTAATTTATGCCTGCGTGAACCAATCTTAGTCATGATGATAGAGGTATCATAAAAAGAAAGGAAAATTATACCGATTTTCCTTGAAATATTTTTAAATAACACATCTTTTCTCTAATTTTTAAATGATTAACTTTTCTTATTTATTTATTTAAGTGATATATACAACTTATATAAGATGACATTTGTGTACTCTTAAAAGACAACAAGTTTTTAAAACAAATATCAATAATTAAATAAAACCGTGATCTTTTATTCAATTTTAATTCTCAAATTATACCTCAAATATCATACATGTTATAATTTAAAAAATATATCAACTTAATTATTTTCAAAATTGAAAAACAACAAATTTTCATAAGGACAAAATATACATATTCGAAAATAAAGAATACACACATGTAATTAATAGAATATGAATTGATTTTTATTTTTTCGACTTTTATTTGTTTCCCTTCTCTCGCTTTAACTACTAACATTATTTTAAGTTAGGTGAGTGATTTTTAAAAACTAAAGATGTGTCATTTAAAGAAATCTTAGAGGTGAATGCAATTTTTCCTAAAAAGAAAGATAATGAACGTTTAGCACATTGGAACATCAATTTTTAAAGCATAAATGCCATGGAGAGAAGGAATTTTAAAATACTTTGATGGATAACTACGGCTGAAATTCAATTTAAAATTTGTTAAATAATATTATAAATCCAAATATGACATATTACTCTGCTACGTAAGAACTTTTCGCTTGATTTGCGAGAACTAACTACACTGAAAGGACTAGTTGCAAGAACCATCTAACACTATCCAAAATGAAAACTGTCAAAAAGACCAGACATGAAGGTGAAAGTAAATACGTTAAGCTGTTATAATGCTGCAACAACAAGAAGCATAGAAGCTGTCTGGAAGACTCATTCTTTAGGTGATGTTAACTGCCTCAGATTGTACTTGGACAACTCCTTGTATTTCTCAATGACCCCGATCAAGCACACAGTCTGCCAAGCAAGAGAGGATGACGATCATTAGTTATGTGCTAAACTCATACAAATAAAAGATAGTAAATTACATACTATGAAGCCAACACTACAGAATTGTGCTAAGGGTGAATTCCCAAAACGGTATATTAAAACAAAGTTTAGCACTTAAAAAAGAATGCACTTGTAACTTTCAAGGTGTATGCCCAAACTATGAAAGTGCTTTTAGGTGACACCAAAAAGGCAAAAATCAATAACTGCCTCAAGAGAAGCAAAATTAGTGGTTCTACAGCCAAAGCGAGAGTAAAGGTAGAAAACAAATATTTTTGAGAGTTTTTTCTAATAGAAAATTTATTAAACAATTTTTAAAGAAAACAACTAAAAAATGCATAGAATTCACAGAAAAACTAAGCAGACAATTTGGTGGGGCAATTAAGCGAGTAAATATAATAGCAGTCAATTTGAAATGATAAATGAAGGAAAATAATCTGGCACATCATGAAAAGCACATCACAACATTACTGCTGCTAGGGGGGAGGACAAGATGAGTACATAAGATAAGCTGGCATGATGACATGCAGTTTAACTTAAATTCCAGACAGACCATGGTTTTCTTACCCTGGCAATTTCAACTACTATTGTTTTATCAGGATTTTTTAGATCAACTTTATGAGGTCCAGGCACTGACTTTGCAACAGCATCGATGATTTCCATCCTGTCAACACCAGTATTCGCCCGGGCTTCATACAATACAGCAAACTACACATGAGAATAAATGTGTCAGCTACAGACAAAAGGAGCCAACCGTAGAAATTTAGAAACAACTAAGCATACACCGATACACGTTGTTAACATTTGCTTCTTGTAGGACAAATTAGACATAAGACATTCTACACTAATGAAATTAGTTTTCTGGACTGCTTGAAAGCAGGCTCCTCTTGTTATGCGGACATAATGCACGTGCCAAATTTCAGTTTTAGAATAACAACTTCATTTCTAATTCTGACATACAGCCACCACTGTATATTTTAATAATAACATATTCCCATTGGTTAGGTGTATCATGTATGAACTAGACTTTTGTTATAAAAAAAAACAAAGCATGTGTCTCACAATTGCCATAATCGAAATTTTGAATAGATATAAATAAAATGTTTTTATTGTAGTAATGGTGGCAAGGAATGGAAATAGATAATATTGGAGACAATTGCAATGGAAGCTATGGTACAACAGTAGCTTTAGCAGCAAGACAAGAGGCAATATAGGTGGTGATGATGAAGCCAACAGACAGCAACATGCAGAATTTTTCAAAATTTGCTTTCTTTGTTGGGGTTTAGAATTATGAAGGATCTTATTTTGTTGCTTTCAAATCGTAAGAAATCTGATTCCAATTCTAAAAGTCATATCAAACATGAATATTTAAAATTTGATGGCCCAACTTTTTATTTCAAATTAAGATCCCTAAGCACCCAAATGGATCATTAGTTATTTCATTCATAAGACGTCAAAACAAAATAACCTTTGTGGCCGTGTTCTCCCACCTCCTTCAACAGAAAATAAAAATAAAAATCTTGGAATGACTTGTTTGTGATGTTTAAGAAAATTTAAACTCTTGAATGCAGTAATGAGTTTAGGTAAAAGAATAATTGTTAAACTTACTGTAAATATACTTACCCCAGCTATATTAAAGTCACAATATTAACATTGGTAACATTTTTGTGGTTTGATAATAATCATGCATAGTATTATTACCTTTTGTGGAGTTTGTGTTTCCACAGGAAAGTACTGTTCCACAAGAGGCTTGATTGCTCTTGAAATTTCCTCCTTTGAAGCATAACATGACACTTCAATTGGCAAAATTCTCAAAATAAACCTGGAAGTTGTCAAAACTGCCTTAGTGTTTTTCAGTGCTTAAATAATTATATATATATATATATATATATATATATTTATAGAGAGAGAGAGAGGGAGAGGGAGAGAGAGAGAGACTACAAATATACCTTGACATATGCTTCCTTGTTGACGCTGCCGATGTCACTATCCGATGAACTATATCCGTGGGGCTTTTATCTCCATCTCTCTTCTTCATTTGAACAAATACTACACCATTACAACCAGAATCAAGCTTGACAAAGCGCCTCTGTCCAAAGAAAAAAAGACCCTTAGCAAAACACACCCAAATACATAAATGAAAGACTAAAGTGAATGTTGAAACAAATCGCAGGGGCAGATGCCAACTGTACCCTCAAATTATACTCCAACACACAACAAACGGAAGAATTAAATTAAGCAGAGTGTCTTTCAACAAAATAAAATTTACTCTTCACATAAAAAATAAACTCTATTGGGGAAAAATGATAAATATAAAAGCTGATCCTCGTACTACTTAATTAATACAACTCATAAGAAGTGACTGTTTCAGATATCTAGATGATTCTACTCTTAAAGTCAATTTTAGACACCCCCCCCCCTCTCCCCAATGCATCTTTTGTGAAGAAGTCAACAAATAAAGATGATATTCCAGGGCTATTTTTTACTCTAAAGGGTAATATTTCCAATATCATATATTTTCCATCTCGTGTCATAAAATGAGGAGGCATAAGAATCAGAAATTAGGGGCACAACCAAAAAAATAATAACATGGATGCCATAACCATGAAAAAGAAAAGAAAAGAAAAGAAAAGAAAACAAGGGCAGAAGAACTAAAGGGCTTTTAATTTGAGAAAATATTTTCAAGTTCAATTTTTTTTACTTTTAATTTAAAAAATGACACCTAGTTTCACTTGTTTTTTTATTTATTTTTAAAAATTTGTATTTGTACAAAATAACAGTTGAAAACAATAAGTTATTTTCAATATTTCCTACATAAATCACAAAATTATTATTGTCAGATAGGCCACAAAAATGATTGAGTGAACCAAGAAAATATAAGAAACATGAGATCTGTGAACCAAGCTTTTCACAGTAACAATAAAATAATATACAGAACATTAGTCTTATAAAGTCACCTTATTCTTGTCTCCCAATTCTTTGAGTTCTTCTTCAATTAACTTATCAATAGACTTCTCTTCCACTTTGTCACTAGAATCACATGTAGGCATGTTTGTTTTGCAGCACTGTTTCACAGCTGGTTGATCGTCAGCTGTCCCTTTTGTAGTCTTAAGATTGTCAATGTCTCCCTGATTATCACTAGCTTTATCTACAGCCTGACTGTGCGGTTCATCAACTTTATGAGGATCTGATTTTTCACCTGTTCCATCGTCATGACTGGCATTGTCATCATTAGAAGTATCCAATTTGGGCTTTTTGTCCCCCTTTTCCTCATCCCCCTCCCGCACCACCTTCTCCTCCCCCTCATCATCATCATCATCATCACCATCATCTTCATCACTGCTACAAGAAGAATCAGAATCTGCAAAAACAATTTTTTTATTCAAAGCTCTGCTGGGTAACTCCTTTACACTTGAATGTTCCCCATGAACTAGCTCTTCATAAAACTGCATGACAAAAAACAAAAAGCATGATATCATTTTACAAAGAATGGAAAAGAAAAAATAGAGCCCCACACTGCCACTCAATACAAAATACAAATTTAACGAAGTTAAAAAAATGAGAAAATATAATTGAAGCCTAAACTATTCCCTTCAGAAGTAAGAACAGTGTTTGAATGTTGGAGATAATATTGAATCTTGTGCTCGAAATAAACAAGCATCCAGGGAACAGCCGATTCAAGTCAAATTAAAAAGACTAAAAAGCTAGTCTAATCGAAGAACTAGCCAACTTCTTCAAATGATACACTAAACTAATAATACAATATGCGAAAGGGAAAAGAAATAAAAACCTAGCACAAATGGAAATTTGTATTCGAATAAATTGAAAAGTTGATAGAATTGGGCGTGTTTAAACTTTAAAGTGTGGAAAAGGAAAAGGAAAAAGCATACGGAATCGAGAATATTGAGAGCTTCACGAGAGGCTTGGTGCTCCCTGCCTCCATCGCAAGTGATGAAGAAGCCTTGCACGCCAGGACGCAGAGGGTACGAACCCTTCTTCACTGCCTTCTGAAAACATTCATGAAATTGAAAACAAAGTCAGCAAAAAGAATAAGAGAAGCATGGAAATTCAAAAGCCACATAATAACACAAGAGAAGAGAGACGTTGTGAGGAAGATAGCGTTTTCTCTTTTTGCCGTCGGCGGCGGCGGCACCATCGGATTTACCCTTCGGCGCCATACCACAGCTTCACACTGCTCCGTTTTTTCTTTTTCCCTTATTTATTTCTCCAATGAACTCAACCTCCCGCAATCACATCAATTTCTTAAGATACTTTACCATCGAATTCGTTTCTTAGAAAAATTTAATTAGTCACAATTTGTAAATAACTAATTTTATCATTTTTAAAAACCAACATAATAAAATTTAAATATTTTAACAAATTATTTTTGATAAACTAAGATATCTCCTAATCAAACTTTAACTAATCTTTCGAAGCTGTTATGAATAAAACTTAAGTCATCAATTTCAAATGCAATGTTCTTAATACAAGTTTTATCTTTGAAACAAGCAATGAAAATTTGTAAATACATTATATATATATTTATTTCTTACTTATTTAAATTAATTAACCTATTATTTATGAAGACAACCTTATCACGATTACAAGTTGATTATAGTATAGTTGTCATGAAATTAACAAAATTTAAATATGACCATTAAAATATTATCTTTTATGTTCCTTTCACTTGTTTACATATATATTTAAAAATTCGATAAAAACATATATAAATCATAAAAAAAACGCATCAAAGATTGATAAATGTAGATCTAAATACATTATATATCCTTAATAGAACCTAGTCAACTCTTATTGTCAATACATACCATAGTAGGGATGGAAAAAGAAATTTATGCATATATATATATATATTAAACCTATCACATATAACAAATAGGTAATTTAAATAAATATTTACAAGTACAAATATTTTTTTTACTGGTTTATAAACTAAACAAAAATAAATATAATAGTATCCATACTCACAATATCCACTAAATAAAACTAGTTAAATATTTATATATTTATCTTACATTTTTTTAATATTTTAACAAAATTAGCCTTAAATATAGATTCAAAAATTTATGTCAATTATTTATCTTTAATATTTCAATAAAATTAACATGTACAAATTTAAATTTTTTTATATTTTAAAAATATTAAAAAATTATAAATATTTATGAATATTTACATATATCTGTAAATTTTGCAATTACTTACTTAATGGATACTCATATCAATATGAGATGAATTTTCATGTGATAAAATTAGAATTGATATCGTACTATTTACGTCATGAGATCTCATTATCATCCCTATCCCTTAAGTTTATATATTTAACGAAAAAGAGAAAGAAAAGGGCTGGTGGTAAATTAGAATTGGTTTTGGACCGGCTTGGTTGTTTTGTGGCAAGATCGTGGACAATATTAGAAGAAATACTAGTATGAGTTATGATTTATGAGGATCTTGGCGAAAGCATGTTAAACAATGGGAATTGAATTTAGAACATGGAAGAAATAAAGAATATTGCAATATTCATTTTCTTATTTCAACTCATAACTAGCTCTGTTTTGTGCGTCATTTACTTAAGATAACTAGCTCTGTTTTTGCAGTCGGCAGTCTTCGAACAGAGTCAAGGCTTTAAAGGCCCTTCAAGTGACACAACCTACCCTTTTATAGAAGCATGTGTGACCTTACACCAGTTGGAAAACTTGGGAGGCAGTGAGGAAAACGATAACTCAAAAAAAAGAAACAAATGAAGGAAAAATGCCATCATTTTGACGAGAAGGAACAAAGGAATGCTCTGTACCATATAAAATTAAGTCGAACTAATCTAGTGAATTCAACACAATTTTTTAATAATAAAATATTAAAAGATTAAAAAGATATTACAATAACATTGTTTCAACATTTTTATACCCAAGTCATAATAATCTTCCAATATTGCTTACGATAACTGTCGAGCGTCACCGAGGGCAGGGTCATCAAGGCTGCAGTGGTTAGTAACAAAATCTGACGAGTTTTAGAGCGATTTGTGCAAAGTGGAGATAACAGAGAAACATGCAGATTTCATAATTTTTTAACACGAAAACAAGACGCGTAAGCAATTTCAATCTCAAGACATACTCCAAGTCCTAATACTAATGTGTAACACACCCAAATGATCTCAACTGATATGAGAGATCAATGCCATAAAACACACTCCGTTAAAAAATAATAATAATTATATAAATGAAGATAACTTGGTCAAAGAATAGACGAAACCTTCCTTTATACAGAGATATTAAACATGGAGAATAAATTCTGATTTACATGACTATACGTGTGTGTGTGCCTCTATATATATATATATATGTACATATATATATACACATATATACATACATATATATATCAAATAATTTATATATATTTATAGCAGGTGTACCCTATCCACAGTTTAGGATGAATAGGAGGCAGCAAGCAGTGCCGCCCCAATGCCAGATCCATCTTCAGTGACCTTTAGAATTACATGTTTGGCAATATCTTCCCCTAATATTTCATTTAGAGCTTCACGCAAGTACTCCCTAAACAATAAATATTTAGAATACAATCCCCCTTCAATTGCCACAACTGTTCTTCTCATTTTCATATCACTTCTACTTCGTCCGCCTGTGATGCCACCGCTCCCGTCCCTACCAATCTTCTTCAAGATACCAACAATACCAGCAGCTGCCAATCGTGCTGCTCTACGAGTCACCACATCACACACCTTCACCACAATTTTTCTTGCTTTCAAAGGAACATCAGGAATCTGAGACCACCCAAATACATAATGAAGTATTATTAGGCTATTAGCAGTCAAGGGTACTCATTTAGGGAAATGACATGTGTGTCTCACTTGTTTACCTCAAAGATGTCATTAAGGATTCTTGCTACTTCTCTCAAGTCAGGAGAATTATCCTCATGCATGGCAGCCATGAAAGGAGTCCTGAAATTCCATCAGGTAATAGTTTTAAAATAAGAGCTTTGGAGTTGGAGGATAATGGAACACAGTAGACTTCACAATTTGCACACCATTTCAGAAGAGGAGCAAAAACTAGCAAATTACAACACCAAGAAAATATATCTTTTAATATTAAGCCTAAGGTTTTCTCATTAATGGGATCAAAGTCTATAACCATGCAGCTGGAGTCAAATATATCCATATCCTCTCACAATCACATAATATACAGAAAATTCACTTTTTTGTAACAATAAACCCTTGCACGTTAAGTAAATGAAAATCATGTGATTTACACAAAATCTTATTACGACCAACAGGATGAGAAGAAATTAATCAACCAAGTTTAAGGCATTAAAATTGGTCACTGGTGATTAAAATCAAAATGGAATCGAACTATTAACAGAAAAGCCAGACTTCAAAATAAATTAACAGAGAATACATTAGAAAAATACATAGAAATACTAAATATCAAATAGAAGTCTTTGAAGGTCATGGATCTTTAGCTTAGAAAAGACTGGACAAAGATGGATATCCACGTCAATATCAAATTTTAGTACAAATTTATTTACAATAATATTTCAACACTCATTTCAGATGTGTCTTCCCTTGGTGTACAAAGTAAATAACTGAGATTCGGTACTCACCTCAGTATGAAAGGTGTTGAAAGCTTGGGTGAAATAGGTCCCAAGACATCAGACTCTAATGACATCCTGAGAATGACTCTCCTCACGATGTCACCAAGATACATTCCTGATATCATTTTCTCAAAACCCTGCATCCAAATCACCAAAATTTTAGTTATGACAATGACAAATCAAGCAACAGGAGTCATCAAAATGCAGAACCTCACTTGATCATTTGGATTTGGGCTCTCAGCATCCAAATCAATATCATACGATGTTCTTGGTAAGTGAGATGACCAAAAGTTTCCCCATTCCATATTGACAACCTAAAAACCGAAGGGTTAAAAAAGCAACATCATACCAACAAAAAAACAAGTGAAAAGTAGAAAGGGCAATACCATGCGTCCAGATGTCATAAGAAGACCTTGACACTTGATAATAGCATCAATTCGTTCCAAATAGCAGGCATTTGTACCAGTACCAATTATAATTGCAGCAACAGTATCCGGATCATGATAATGTCCAACTGCTAATGTTCCAACAGTGTCATTAACCTGTTGAAAGATAACATTATATCATGTTTCACATAATAATCAGTAATATAATGAACAAAAAGGATTTATGTTACACAACAACACGCTTTTTTCCCGCACAATTTCTCAACAACAATGTAATGTATACAGGTCATTTCTACAAATATTACCATTCATCCTTCAGTAAAGAAATGTAGAATTAACAGTACAAAAAAAAAGAATTAAAAAAGTAGCAAATCATTTGACACGCATACCCAACTCTTACATCTAGATTGATCAAATTATTGCATGGAAATGTCATGAGACTTGATAATAATAATAATAATAATAATAATAATAATAAAATAAAAACTCAGGCATTCTATATGTACATTAAATATATCTTAGAAAAACATAATTAACTGAGGCAGATGTGACCTCAGAATTCACCAGACAGTTTAATCCCAGTTGTGTAATTATATAAACATTTTTTTGGCAGTAAATTTGGGTGGTGGGGGGAAAGGAATATAACTATAGGTAAAAGAATGTACTTCCTTACCAAGGCAGCCACCCGCACATCTAGGCCTTTCCGTGTCAAGGCTTCTTGCAAACATGCTGCAACATCTCTTCCTACCTGATAACATAAAGTTTTGTTCTTAATATAACTTGGCTATGATATTTCCAAACTGCTACTGAAAGATCAAGTGCAAATAGAACAGGTATTTCATTTCCATTTTGTAACTGTTTAAAGGGGTAAAACACAAATAGCCATTTTGAAAAACTGATTTGGCCTGGCCAGTTAAATGGCTGCACTAAAACCTATGTCAATGTAATTGAAAATCAACAATTAAATTCAGCTAAACCACTAACCAAGTGCCTTGGGCTTGTAAATAATTTTTTTTGTATAAAGTATAAAACTAATCAAATTATTACCCTGTTCAACATCATGCATTTTCTCCTTAAACATGCACAAATTGCCACTAAATTTAGTGAAGTTTATGATGAACAATGAACACAAAGTTCGCTATGAATACAAGCTTTCACCAAGAAACTGCTTGAAAGTCAACTAACTAACCAAATCTCGAATTGAAAACCCTTTTGTCCATTTGATTAAAATGCCTGAGGAAACAGACATTTGTTTCACAGGAAAGGAGAATGTAAACCCAAGCTCCCTTCTGTCATGTGAAATATTCAAACCATCTCCTTCTTTAGCAATGAAATCCTTCAATGAAGACGCAATAAAATCAAAGAGATCCTGCAAGCAACAAAATCAATCAACCTCCACAATGTTAAATACCATAGAACTCCAAAATTTTAGTGTTTTTTTGATCAAGTCACCTCAGTTGTGCTGGTCATTACATCTTCGGGGATTGGTTGTCGTTCTACTTCTACTTCATGTTCCAAATCTGAAGATGGTTGACCACTTAATTGAACCCGCAAAACCCTAAAATTCGTACCCCCAAGGTGAAGTGCATAATATGTTCCTCTCTCAGTCCTGATAGAGGAAAAATATATATACATATATCAGTTTTATACTCATTGATGACCCATGTGCCTCGCCATCAATGTGCACTAATAGTAGCATACAGGGTGAATGATTTGACCCGGTAAAACACAAAACAAGCATAAATGCAATCACTCCAAAATCAGGCTCAAGCATGTTCATGGCCCGTAAGACCAGCCATCAATGTGAGCTAAATAGTAGCATACAGGATGAATGATTTGACCCAGTAAAGCACAATACAAGTATAAATGCAATCACTCCAAAGTTACAGTCAAGCATGTTGATGACCCGCAAGCCTTGCCATCAATGTGCACTAAATAGTGGCTCACACGGTGAATCATTTGACCCGGTAAAGCACAAAACAAGTATAAATGCAATCACTCCAAAATTAAGCTCAAGCATGTTGATGACCCAGAAGACTCGCCATCAATGTGCACTAAATAGCAGCATACAGAATGAATCATTTGCCCCGGTAAAGCACAAAACAAGTATAAATGCAATCACTCCAAAAACCACAGAGTCTGTGACTCATTCTCGCAGATTTCATATTACCATAAGTATCGACATGAATCATGCATCACATATGGAATTTTCATTAACAGTACATTACACTAGATATTTACTGGACGTTGCAAAAGAAAAGTTCTTTTTCATATCCACAGCACGCCCAATTCAAAAAAGAATTTAATCAGAATACAATGACATCGACAATGCTGTCAAGCAACCAATCCTGGGTTGTCATATCGTCAACTTTTACGATAATTATTTTAAGAGTCGTTCCTAAGACATCATGATAATTACTTCAAAAATCTTTAAGTTGATCACAGCCAATCAAGATTAAACTTTTCAAAAGGAATGCGAGTCGCACACATGAAAACAACATAGAACAGGAACAAATGCCCGTAGTTAGTAAGAAATATGCACAAACCATCATACGAGTGAAAACAGCAAACAAACAGTAACTTGAAGAAATTAAACTACAGACAGCAGTGCATTAAGAAAAACAAAGATAGGGAAAGCGAGATGGCAAGGTTGTACTAAGGAATCAAACAATGGGGGAAAGAACAATCACTTCTTGGTCAAGAACTGCATAATATCGAATGAAAGAAGTTAAAAGACACAAGAAATAGTATAAAAAAAGAAGGAAGTTCATTGAATGGCGCAGTTAAGGGGGAAAGAAATTGGACCCTAATGTAATGGGAAAAAAAGATTACCCATTGGGGAGATTATCGACGAATGTGAGAAGCATTTTGAGCTTGGAGCCACCTTCAGAGGCCAAACCGGCGTGCATCTCGACCGCCATGGCATCCACGACTTGCCTCAACCTTCCAACGCTGGTGTCGCACCCTTCCTCGAGTTCCCTGACCACACTGGCCACTTTGTTCCACTTCCTCCGGCTCCTCAGTCTCCGGCCGACGACCAGCGCCGCCACCGCGCAGGTGGCGACGGCGACCGTGACTGCGACCCCCACGACCGCTCTCCCCATGGCCCCCGATCAGGCAAGCAACCTACATCCTACCCCACTCTCCCCCGATTGGCGAGCAGCGTAGGGCGGCGTTTGAACATGCACGAGGCGAGACCCTCGATTGCGCTCCGGCGATTGGATGAGAGAGAGAAAGAGAGATACGGCGGCTACGGAGTGGTTTGGAATTAGGATGCGCTTCAATGGAAGGAAGGACCAATATGGAAACTTTTATAAGCTCCGCGTATTGACGGATTTGCCCTCTCACATTTTCCAATATTTCGGATTTGTCACGGTATCTCTTCCCGATCTTTTTACCGTTTATGACAGATTTTGAGGTTAATGACAACTTTGACTTGTGCTCTTCTTTTTCGTTCTTTCTCTTTCTCCCTTTTTTCCAAATGCCCTCTCTTTTTTTTCAATATGTTTTCTCTATTTAATTTATACACCACCCTCTCCATCTCAATTAAATACTTTTTCAAATTGGATACTATAGAAACGACTACGACTCTTCTTTTTCTGTTTTCACTTTAACTTTAACTCTTTAATTCTGAAAATAAATGTGTACGTAGAAAGGAGGTGTTTTCCATTAATGACATGTATCTAATTTTATTAATTAAATTCTGCAAGAAAAATAAATATGGGGAGGAAAAGTATTTTTCACATTAATGACATGTATCTGTTTTATTAATTTAATCCCGGAATCATTATAAGAGACCTTATTTTATAAAGGTTAGTCAATTGATTAAAAGAAAGAAGTTGGGGTAGTTAGACCATAGGGTTTAGGTTTAATTATCATTTATAATTTTTTTTGTAATTTTTTTACAAACCAAAGCAATAATATTAAAACTTAAAACTTTGCATAACCTCCCAATACTATGTTGATCCCACTGGATTACCATTTTAAGCTATATGCGTACTAATTAAAAATCTATATTATAATTGGCTTTAATCTTATTCTTCATATTTAAAAATATCCAAATTATTTTTCTTTTATTTCAGAAATTCGTGAAAAAAATGTTAGGTGGATTTCTGTTAAAGTATACAATTAAGTTTTTAAAACATACTCTCAAAATAAATTTATCAAGCATGTTCTTTTTATTTTCTCATCTCTATTTTTTTTTTTCAAATGTGCCTTAGTTTGCTCAAAAAAATAGTCACCCAAATTTATTTTATAATATGATTTCTGAAAATAAAAATATGAAACACAATCAAACATATCCTAAATGTTTAGGTATCTTCTACCCAAAAAAAAAAAAAAAAAAGCATGTCCTAAATATTTATATATCTTTAAATTTATCAACCAAGAACCCTTCGACATTAATTTTATACTAAAAAGATGTCATCAAACTTTCCTTTTATTGAGAACATGTATTTTACTTGCCTTAAAGGTGCACTGGATTATTTTGTTTTCTCAAAAAATACTTCATACAAAACAGGAATATGCCTCAGTTCTTGTATTTAATATTAGTTTCTTCATGACAGCTATTGGTTCCATACAATATTAGTTTTTCAGTCTTAGCAGGTCGTTCTTTTAGACATTCCATCATCTATTTTTTATTAATTTTAAACTCCAATCTATTAAAAAAAATACAATATATCTTGAACATGTTAATGTCATTAATTATTTTAGGAAGGTGGAATAAATGGGTAGGGTTTGAAGGCATTATTAGTAGTTTGTTTTCTTGATAACAGATTCTATTCACATTGGTGTAGTTAGTATCTGAACAAGTACGACTTTTTTACTGGTTTTTACTGCAATTCGAAGAATGAAGAACCATCTATTTCTGGTTGAGATAAAACCACACAAGGATAACATTTAATAAATAAAAAAAATATGAGATAAAACCACCCAATTCAGTATGTTAGGTCATTTTTTTATAAATGTGTTAGGTCGGTCATCTTCACTCTTCAGCAATTAATACATTCTAACAACACCTTTTATCATTCTTTTAAAATTTACTAATTGGAAAATTGATTATTTTACACCGCCTAACAATTGTATACTACAATCTTGGATTGGAAAAAGAAGTAGAGAAAATGTGATAAATGCAGTGAGAAAAAATGATTATATAAAGAGGACTTAACATATTGAATTGCTCATCTTAACATACATTGTTTTAATTTGTAGAAAATTGGACTTAGATGAGGTCAATGATGGTTATAACTATTATAAAAAATAATACTAAACATAATATGGGGAAAGGAAGAGAGCAAAGGTAAAATGAAGAAAGGGGTATGTTGGTAATCTGCAGAGAAACAGAAGATTGTTATTGGGTGGAAAAGGAAGAGACAGAGGGAGATGAAGAAAATGATGGTGGTTGAACCTTGAACGTTGGAGAGGGCAGGACTGTAATTTCACTTGATTTATTAAGAAAAAGGTTATGAAAAAAAGACAGAAACGGCGACGGTAGCTGCGTATTTGAATCCGTACAGTACCAGCTGGAATCCGCTAAGTCCAGCTGTGTGTGCTCACAGGCGCACAAACCTAAAACATGTACTACTATTTTTATCAAAAACCTTTTTTTTTTAGGCCATTCATGTTTTTTTTTTAATTCAATGACATGTAAAAGGCAAATAATTAATGCCCATTTTAGGTTTAATAAAATTTTACCAAAATAAAGTTGAAAACATGAAAGAAAAAAAATTGGAAAATTTGAATGTTCTACTTAATTAATTTGAATGTTTTAAGAGAGTAATTATTAAAATGACATGGGAGTGTGCGGAACAAAAATTGATGGTGTGGGGAAATGAATATCTGTTGTGTTGATTTTGTCGAGTGAGAGAGAGATATTTTGACTCTTGCAGTAGTAATTGAAGAGGGAGGTTGGTGAAAGGAATGATCGTGACCGTACATTTATGAACTGTGTTTATTTTATGAAATTGAAACCAAGTTGACTTCACTCCTCACTTGTGTTGCCCTTAATAAGTTGTAGTATTTGTAGGGCTTCCAAAGGAATCTGTTTCCTTTGATAAAATAAAACACGTGCTCGCAATTCACCCACAAAACAAAATCTGATTAGACCTGTGGCCCATGTGACAACGACTACAAACATCAAACTTTGCTAATCACACTTACTATAATACTACCACTTCCACATCACCTTCCCAATATGCTCTTATACATTAATATTCTATACACTCACACATTCACAATTTCCACTTTTACTTTTTCATTAACATATATATCTGCACCTTTCATTGGATATGAAATTCTACTATTCAAGGTCTTCCCCCACAGAATAAGCCTTTATTATGTTGAACCCAACTTGTAAGAATCTATATTATGTTGACCCAAAATTCAATGATTTGCCCTTAAAATCTATACATATTTACAGTAAATAGAATTAAAAGAAATTATGATATATTTTTTTAAAATTATCTTTGAAGAATCTAGAGTTTCAATACACACAAAATACAAGTAGTATATAACATCCTTTTAAGATTAAGAGGAGACCCATTACTCTCTTAAATATCATGAGTTGATAAATTATTTTAGAAGAGATCTTTCCTATACTTAAACTTTAGTTTTTATGAAGAAATTTTTTACTTACTAGTCATTACTATGGCTATTTTGTTATGAATAGAAATATGTTTGAGTTTTTCATGTTTGTTTTTAATTATGAATAACTTGGTCAGGAGTTCAAGATTACAACGATCTAAAAACAAGTGGTTTGGTTGAAGACGAAAAGAAAAAAATGAATGGACTAGTTTGGAGATTGTGGTGGGTTTGACCCAATAAGCTTACACATGGACAAGCCTATTCTCTTTTATGAGAAACTAAAATCAAACTCGTGTATTTGTATGGATTACTCTCTTGTATGTGACAAACATATTTATTCATAAAAAAAATATTTATATTAAAATAACATAATTAATTATTTGAGTTTTTTTAAAAAAATATAGAAAGAATAGAAATATTAAAATTAGATGCAGTCTTATATGTATTTTTATTGTACTTAAAATATTTATAAAAATATGTTTTCTTTACTACATGAAAAATTATTTTAAATTTTAAAAGAATTTAACTTATCTTAAATTTAAATATTTTGTAATTTTAAATGTGAAATGATAAGTATATTTAATTATTTTATAATTATATTATGAATAAAATTTTATTAAATTTATAATATTTATAATTTTATAAAATAATATTTTGAATATTTATTGTGAGTTAATAAAAATTTATTTAAAGCGCGAGTGACAAAATATCTCGTGTCTTCTTCTATTAATTCGCACATTTCATCCCGTTCTGTCCCATTTAATAAAGTAAGTTCAAAAATTCAACCTACTCTATTTTATAATTAAAAAAAGTTATATATATAATATTTATTAAAATTTAAATTAATAAACTTAATTTTCAGTGATAATTAATTTAGACACAATTAACAAAATACAAAAAATCATAAAAACAACTAACAAAACTATTTACACCTAGTTAAACCCTAAACACTAAACAAAAGTATTGTAAAAAAAATAATATGAAATTCACACCTTGTATTTTTATTTGTTAAATAAAATAAACTCTATAATACTTTTACATGTTTTAGAAAATAAATTCAAATTAGTATTAAAATAATCTTTAAACACATTTAAAATGAATAATATCGATAATAATTTAAAATTTTGGAAAACTGTTTAATTTTATTAATAATTTATAAATATATATTAGAATATAAATTACATATTGTATTAAATAAAAGTATTGTAAATAATAAAATTAAAATCAAACTCACATTATGTATTTTTATTTGTTAAAATAAAAGAAAGTATACAATATTTTTATATATTTTAATAAATAAATTCAAAATAGTATTGAAATGATTTTAAATTTTAATTTTTCCATAATATATATATTTTTATCTGTTAATAGAAATAAATTAATATTGTAAATGTATGTAATAAAAATTTGGTTTTAATTTTTAAACAAGTCTAAGATAAATAAAACTAACAATAATTTAAAATAAAAACAAATTTTTATAATTTAAATATGTTTTTAATATCTTAAATTTAAAATTATTTTTTTAATCCTGTAATTTTTAAAAAGTTTGTTTAAATCCCTCGTGTCACTAGTAACACATGTGAAAAATGATAAATTCAGACAATTATACATCAAATGAGTTTAATATTATGTTTTTACTAATAAATATACTAGTAGGTAGATTTTGTATGATAATTATAACACTGTAAGTTTTTAATTATTGTTTTTTAA